CAAACGAAGCCTAAATCATTGCTTGTAACCCTTTCTTCTTGGTTATGTGGATATTATATGGCATTTAACTATAAGTTGTTATTTCTTCAACCTACATGCAGGCCTCATCGCGATGCATCATACTTACAGTGGAATAGGAAAAGCAGTGCCACTGCCAGGTGAACACATCATGAGTGGTGCATGGTGTTACCCTCTTATGGTTGGCCTCAGTGCAGACATGTTTGCGATGGTTTCCCTGAAATGATTATTGATGGAGAGATTTCAATTTCACGGCTTTCATCTAGCTCTTTTCAGGATGACTATTAACCCACCTCATTTTTTTGTAAGTATATTTTACTGGATGATGTAACTTTTCATGATAAATAAGAGGGTTTTGAGTTGATTTGTTCGTCTACTTGTTTATTCTTTTGCATTCTTTGTCATGAATTTAGGCCCATCCCGCTGAACAAACTTGAAAGTCGTGGGGGAACTATTTATAAATCTCATTGGTATCATTTAATTTTAACTTTTTTTTTTCCTTTTTAGGCATCAGTTTTCTACGTTCCATGATGATCAAAATTCGGATGAAGCTAGATTGCATTGTACCTCGTCTTTTGTTGTATAAATTTTCTGTAGTGGATATGTATATCACTGGTAAGTGTCATTGCATGATTTAATTACAGAGAAAATGTGCAGTGTTAGAAGATTTAGATTCTCTCTAATTATCATGGTAACTGCACTACCATTCGAATCATTTTGAACTATGCAATCCTGATTATTTAAGATGTATATAGGATGCCTGGGATGGGCACTGGTAATTGGAGAGGATCCAAATGGAGAGTTAGACTAAGTCTAAATTTTAAGTTTTGGAATAAAAAGCTTTAGGGAGTTGGTTGACACGAATGAAGAGAAAAACTTCTGCATTTAGCTAAATGGAAATTATAAAGAATTGAAGCCATTTCGACAGAATACGAGTTATTGTATGGGGTATTTTCAAAGTTATTAGGTTTAGGTGTTGTTGTTAATGATATACATTGCCCTTACAGGAGATTATGAGCATCTATGTTCCTAGCAAAAGTGGGCGATGAATTCAACAAGCATCAATTTTGTGTCAATAGTTTGCATCAACATTATATATAGACAATGACATGTGTTGACTTTATTGATGAGAACAAGCATTGGTCTATAGGCATCAACATTTATATTTGCGACAAGCATCAACTTATAAGTGAGGTCATGCATTAATGTGTAGTGATGAAGTCGGCGGAGTGGTACTTGGTTGATGGGGGTTTGGTGATTCCAGTTGGATGACAATGGTTATAATGTTATAGCTGCTTGGTGATGGTTGGATGATGTTATAAAAGTTTGAGGACAGTGATTGAGTGCTGTTAGTTGGGCAATGACAATTGACAATGATGGTTGTTGACAATAATCATCAATGTCAAATATCTGCCAGAGCTCTAAAAGAAGGTTATAAGAGTCAGCACAATTTGTACATGAAAAAAGAAAAAAAAAAAATCTATAGTCTGACTTAATTGAAATGATTCCACCAATGTAAGTCATAGGTTATAAATAATGCCCTTCCCTACAATAGGGAAGGTCATTGACATCATGTAGTAGACGTAAATTATGGATGATGGATTCCATGATAAATGTTAGATGAGTCTTGAGATATTAGAGTTGTATTCAAGAGATCATTGTTATATATTTGGTCATTATGTCTTGAGAACAAAAAATCAGATATTAAGATGTTCAATATAAATCTTGGTGTTGAAAGCAGGCTCACGCCAATCAATCTTTTGACGTGGCATGGGTAGGATGTTGTTGGCAGCAACAATCAACAAAGTTGATGGAAGTCCGTGTTAGTGTTGTTGGCGTGCATTTGTATTATAGGCGATGATGTGTTGACATTAACTTTATGCAATGGCATGCATCAATATTAAATGCTATGCATGTATTGATTTTGCCGGCGATAGTCGGTGATGAAGTCGACATACATTGGTTTTTGTGTTAATGACGTGCATTTATAGGCAATGATATGTGTTGATGTTGTTATCAATGAACTCGATGGGAGACATTAGTTGCGTGAGAGTGTTTGGGACACATCTTCCCATTAAAGCTAATATCTTATCAAAGAGTAATAAAACAATAGGCTAACAAAGCTAATATTTTATAAAAGAGTGATGCTACACAGTTCAAATAATAGCTTTTTTTTTTTTTGATTAGTTGGTACATTATTTTTTGAAGGCTCTCCTCCCCCTTCTCTCTCATTCTTAGAGCAAACTCATCAAAATAACATTTTGTTACTATTCAAATCCTAACTTCTTCTTCACCAAGCAGGCGATCTGATAGACCTGTAGAGGAGATGGAAGCGTCTTTGCCACACTCTCCCTCTCCATGCATCTCCTCACCCAAGTCATGAGCTTCGGGCATTCCTTCTTCACACTAAAGCCCCCAAATGTCTCGTATGTGTGGATCCAACAAGAAAATGTAATAAGAGCAATATCCAAATATCCAAAGGAGTCTCCATTGAAGTAAAGCTTCTCTCCCAGCTCTCCTTCCAGAATCTTTAGGTGTCTCATGAACTCCTCCTTGGCTTCTTCTTTTTCAATTCCCTTGCTGTGCCTTATCCTTCTACCGCTATCATAAACCTGTCATTACAAACAATAAAATAATTTATTTTCAATTCATAACAAAATAGAAACAGCTTTGTAAGGATTTATTTAATTTGTTCAGCAAATTATGTTATTGATAGGTATCAATTATTTCATTTGATGATGTCTTGAAAGGGTGGTGGCACCCAGGGGCGGAACCATGCATATGTTAGGGGGGAACTTGCCCCCCCCCTAAGACTCTTACTTTGCCCCTCCTTTGCCCTAGTCGCCCGTAATCACCCTCACACAGTCACAAAAAATTTAAAAAAATATACTTTCAACCAAAATTTGAACCCCGTCAGGGGGTGCTGCTCTCTTGGACCCCCAACATATCTGCGAATTATATAACGATCAAGGATATGAACAAATAGGGATTAGGGATTGAGCTAAATTCAAGGCAATTCCAGCATATATTTTGTAGAGATTGAATGATTAATCAATTACATCATTTTGATTTTTTTTTCAAACAAATCATTCATACTTCAACTTAAATTTTGTTTAAAAATAATTGTCATTATATAAAATATTAATGATAAAATGTATTATGTATTCAAGTACAAAGAATCTTTAGCAAATATCAAGCTTCTTTTTTGGTATGTGGCTCATTTTCTTATAGTGAATGGTCGAGCCAAATTTGATGCAATACCAACAGTTACTTATAATTTGCCTTCCTTGAAAATTAAGGCTGGTTTTGCCCTGGCGGC